GTCTCCCAAGTAGTTGGGAACTCAGCCACACCATACCCATAAAAACATTTTTTTCATAAAAATTCTCATTTGTTTCTCTGAGTCTTCTGCTTGCTTGCTCTCTCACAAACCATGACAGTGCACCTACTTGTTCTTTTTCCTCCCAGGCTGCTCCGAGCGTTAACAAGGCATTGGAGCAGTTTGTGAAGCCGGAACAGCTCGACCGCGAGAACTGCTACAAGTGTAGCAAGTATGATGGGGGGTGACTTGCAGTCCCTGACATGGCTGCTTCACTTGGGATGACCGGGAGCCTTGACTGTAAAGGGCGTGCTGTGTTTGAATGGCCTGCTAGGTTGCCTTAGCTCCTGGTGCCCTCTGGGAGACCCAGGCTGTGTGTCCCACAGAGGCTGGAACATGAAGGTCCGGTGTCTGCACTCTCTCAAGATGGGCATGGGGCTGGGGATTTAGCTCAGCGGCAAAGCGCCTGCCTGGCAAACACAAGGTCATGAGTTCGGGGCTGGGGATTTAGCTCAGCGGCCAAGCGCCTGCCTGGCAAGCGCAAGGTCGTGAGTTCGGTTCCCGGTACCAGAGAAAAACTAGAAAAACCAAAAAACAAACAAACAAACAAACAAAAAAACAAGGTCATGAGTTCGGTTCCCGGTACCGGAGAAAAACCAAAAAATCAAAAAAAAAAAAAAAAAAAAAGATGGGCAGCTCTGCGCCCTTGGAGAACTAGTGCTGCCACCTGGTGCCACAGTGCTGCCACAGCATCTGTTAAGCAGCATCTTTCTTGACTCCCCTGTCAGAGGAGACTGGAGGGAGGGTGGGGTCACCTTCTACCCCAGCAGAGTTCAGGATCTTTCTTATACTGGGTACCCACGGGGGTACAGTGTCTGCTGGAAACTTCTCATTTACATTATCCAATAGCACATTTCCCCAGGCAGTCAAGGGAGTCTGTTTTAAGAACCCCTGTTTCATTTGTTTTAAGTAGATTTTCACTTGATAGCCAGGTGCTACAGATATCTATATTAAATAATCTTTTCTTGCCAAGTAAGTATTCAATATCTGGGGAAAGACGGTGCTTTTATCTCCAAGACTAGGGATTTTTCCTGACACTTTTCATCTTTTTTTCCCTTTTTCCATCTGGGTAGGGCTTTGCATTCACAGAATTATACCAGCCTAAAAAACCAATGAGCTTTTAGTGCTTTAGAATTGAATTAACCTATGATGTTCTTCTTCTGCAGTGCTGGGGGTTGAACTCAAGACCTTATGCATGCTAGGCCAGCGTCCCACCTGTGAGCTACACCCCCAGCCCACGTTAATCTGTTTTTCACATCATGGGGCCCTGTGCGCCCGATGTTTCAGAATTGTGCTTTCTTTCCTGTCATGCTACTCGGCCATTTCCCCCAGTTTCGTTTGCTTTTTTGTTTTGTTTATTTTTTGTTTTTTGAGACAGGGTCTCTCCTTCTGGTTCAGGCTGCTGTTGAACTCATTATGTGTTGTCCAGGTTGGCCTAAAACTCGTGGTGATCCTTCTGCCTCAGCCTCTCCAGGGCTGAGGTTATAGGTGTGTGCCACCATGCCTAGCTACCCCCAGCATTTTTAATTTAAATATTTCCAGTGTTTGTTTGGAGGAGGAGGATGTTCCTTATCTATTATGCTTGTTTTTGAATCTTAAATGAGGGTGTTTCAGAGAAATAGCAAGGGAAAGGCTAAAACACCAAAAAATTCACACTTTGATCTTCTTAATCTTTTGTTTGTTTACCTCAAGGTGCAAAAATATGGTTCCGGCTTCAAAGAGGCTTTCCATACACAGATCACCTAATGTTCTTACACTTTCTCTGAAACGCTTTGCAAATTATTTTGGTGGAAAGATTTCTAAGGTACGTAGATGATGTTATTAACAAGCATTTATGG